CTGGGAATGCAGTGGGCAAAGGCTGCTGTGCTGTTCCCAGGTCAGATTATATCCAGGCAGGAAATTTTGGCTCTTCACCCTGGGCAGAGCATCTCCCAGTGGGATGATGGAATTTTATCAGTCATGCAGAGACACTCAGTGACCCACGAACATAAGATAATTAATGGCCCATGAACAGAAGATATTTCCAGGAGGGAGGATTGGTTGTAGAAGAGATGAAGAAAACTGCCCAGTGAACAGCAGACACCTGCCCCAGCTCTGACAGATGGCAATAGGACACACCCCCAGCCACATCTTGCATTTCCAGCCCTGCACACGCTGAGCCTTGAACTGAGGGTCGGGCTCAGCACTGAGCAGCCCCTCCACAGTGCCCAGCACGGGCACAAGCAGTGCCCCGCTCCTGTGGCCACGCTGCTGCCAGTGCAGCTCAGGGGTTCCCACCCAGGCTCACACCAGGCCCAGGACAGCGAGCCATCCTGAGATCTGCAGACAAAGCCCTGTGGGAATTTCCAGCTGAACAGTTTGCAGTTGTCCAGGCTGGAATAAATATGCTGAGCCCTCGGAGGTTTGGCAGCTGTGCACATTAAGTGCCATGTAAGGATTTGGGCTGCAGGGACAACAGGAGAGGCTCCAGGCTCCCGTCTCCAAAGCACTCGGAGCTCTAAATTGTTCTTATATTTTTACAGCTCAGGTCATAGAATATCTGACTTAAATTATGGTCTCTTTGTTTAAACAAAACTATATCAATTACTGTAAAATATTAATCCATTAAAGGAATTGGTTTTCCCTTACTTCTCTATAAATTCAAATTTGACATACAGTGTTACTGGTAACTTAATGTATTCCTTCTAGTACGACAAAATCAATTGCAGTTACTTTCTGGTTAAAATTACTTTAACAGTTAATGTTTAAAATGTATATTCCCAATTGCTGCAGCATCTTTTATAATCAAGAATATATTAAATATAGGGAGAACAGACTAATGGATTTTTTAGCACTGAATCAATTAATCTTACCTTTTTAGATATGGCAAATTTCTTCAATCGATTGAGGCAGCTGAAGTATGAAAATTAACACAGAGATTTAATAATAATCATAGATCAAACACAAATTTCCAACACAAAATACTGTCATTGTCATATAAAATTACTGAAAATCAAATATCTAAATGATGAGCTCTTTTCATTGAAAATAATAGTCACTCTTTGTACTGAAAAATCCTTACCAACAAAACAAAAAAAAAAGCAGAAGATCACTTACAATCTCTGCAGAGGACACTGGGTTATAAAAAATCCACCATATTTATGCAACTTTGATTAATCAATATTTTTGAAGAGTGTTTAATTAGAAACTGGACTTGATGACCTAGGTGGTTCTTTCCAGTCCTATGTTCCTAATTAAATAAAAAGCAAATGTTGGCAGGCATTGATTATTGGTTTTTCCTCAGGAAATGAATAACCAGCCACACGCTGCTAAAATAATAAGTCAGGAAAAAACAAACAAAAACCCCCCTGCAGGCTGCCTCCATTCTAGAAAACACTTCTAGTTTCTAGCTTAGGTGAAAAGGAAATATTACTGCTTGTTTCTGTTTGATTACTGTAATTTCATTAGAAAAACTGCAGAAAATTAGCACCTTATTTTATATTTCAGTCTCATTTCCTGCTTTGTTACACGTAATATACAGCAAGGCAAATCTGTCAAATGGATAATTGCCTGCTTCCATGCTTGAAGGGGTTTATTCCTAAGGGAGCAGAATTTGCTCGGCAAAAAAACCTTCAAATATTGTGCTGGCAAAGCTGTTCATGCCATTAAACCCTCAGCACAACTGCTCCCATTGTATCTGTATTAATGGGAAGTCACATCTTAAGGATTAAGCAAATTTCAGTTATTTGTGCTTTATACTTATTTACATTTATACCTTGCTGATCGAATCTAAATTTGATATTATGCAGCCACCTTAAATGTTCATTTCTAACCTTATAGTATATCACAAAGCATTCGAATTGTGCTGTGACCCACAGTGCTCTTTAAAATCTGTGTTTCTTGAGGAAAATAAGGTGCAAGGCAGGTTGTGATCTCTGTCAGCTCCCTTCAAATAATTTTTGATATTCTTGTCCAATTTTATTAAAATTCGGATCAGACTACTTAAATGCCATTGCTTTATGGGACTAATTATTTCCCTAGCTTGCTTTGCTAACCACTAAATAGATTAAGAAGTATTAAATCTTGCAAATAGAAGTTTGTGTGCACGTTTTGGCAGCAAAATGAGTGGCTTTATGTGGCAATCGAGTTTGAAAAGTTGGCTTAATTTAGATGCAATTGATCTATATAATAATTGTGGTTTTTCTTTTCTTTTTATTCAAGAAATTAGGCAAAATTTCAGTTTCTGTAAGGGGAAAAAAAGTGGTAATGAAGACA